TACTGGCCTCACCAGCACCCCGAGGGGGAAGGACGGCCACAGTGACCTTCGCCCTCTCCTTCTCCTCCTCCTCTTCAGCAACTTGGACGGCGAGGGCCAACTCTTCATCCTCGGCAGTTCGCTCGAATTCCTCCGCCTCGGCCTCAGCCGTCAGATCTTTCTGCACCTCAGTGGCGAGGGCTGCATCACCACAACCCGAGGGCTGATCACTGCTTGACTCCACATCGGAGATGCCTTCGTCCTCCATCGAGGGCGTCCTCGAGATGTCCTGAGAGTCACTCTGGGACGACATTCGCACCCTTGTTCGAGGGCTCGTAGACGGTAGTGTTTCCTAACTTTTCTATCTCCTAAACTAATGGCACAGTACAGCTATGCTAGAAGGAGAAAGGCAGGGAGCACTGACCTCGAAAGCTGAGTTTTGGACCGAAGGCTGAACTTTCTCTCTCTAGAAAAATTGACAGAGCTTCGCTAACAAGTTTATCGCACACGGAGGAATGCCTGGCCTTGGGGTATTTATAGGCGCTGGAATCCGGGCATGGGCCTGGGTTCCGGGCCTCCGGATGGACGCCATCATTACGCGCCGTCGTTTCACCCAACCGGTGACGCCGCCCACGAACAACCAGCCATCACACGCCACGTGTGCCATCCCCCCAACGGCTATATCCTGTCGTTACGTATTCCAACGGCTATATTTCCAATGGCTATATTCTGGAAGCCCCCGCGTTTTTCTACTTCACTCCACTTCATCAAAGATAGCCTCCGGGTACAATCACTCAGAAGTGCCCCCGGGTTGCGCCCCACACAGCACATAACAGACGCCTTCGGGATCACTCCTTCAGAAACCCAGGGCTTCATATCAGGACACCCCCTCGGGGATTCCCCCTCAGCACTGCAAAACTGGGTAGCCCCCGGGGAGTTTCCTCATTGACGGATGGCCCCTGGCACACAGGTGATGGGGAGCCCTCGGGTATCTTCATCACCAACAAATCAACAAACAGTGGACCCCCCGGTAAACACTTCACTGCTGCCCTCATCTGGCAGGCCCTCGATCCCTGGATTGAGGGGCTCCCCTTCGGCGCCACCAGGACATCAACAGCGAGCCTTCGGCTAATTAACACAGGAGCCCTCAGAAGAGAGAGCCCTCGACATTCCCGCCATTCTCCATTTTGTACCAAGGTTTGACATTTTCGATTCATCATTGGGGGAATTCGGTGCACTCTTTTTCCCTCGTTAGGATTTTTTCCCAAAGGGTTTTTCCTAATGAGGTTTTTAACGAGGCATCCCCCCAAAATGAAACGAAAAGCGTCAGCCTTCGACCCACAACAGCAACGTAACTACTTTACTCCTTTTCACCACTTTACAAGTGCCTCAAGGAGTGGGGGACTGGAGGACCCCCTCGGGAAAATCATTAAATTACAAAATCTGTGAAAATCCAACAAACAACAAAGCAAGCCCTCAAGTCCCGACATGTGGGTAACTGAGGGACTGCCTTCGGCAGAGACATAAAAGCAACAACTCCTCACCAACTTCAGAGATCACGACAGGACAACATCAAAGGGCAAGCACAAATTACTCCTTTTCCCTCAAGTACCTTTCGGCAAAAGGAGTGAGGGACTCCTGATGAAGTATATGGCCTGGGAACCCCCGGCCCACAGACTCCTACTACTCCAGCAAAGGCCCAACAGGCCCGACAGGCCCAAATCACAGCGCCCAGAGTACCAAGCAGTCCGCACAACGCACAGGGGTGCCTTCGGACTCCTGGTCGAAGGCTCCAAATTGTCACAGAGCGGGTTTCTCAAGCAAATTAGGAAACTGGGAGAAAACGGCGAAAACAGCAGCTCTCGGCACTGTGAGCCCTCGGTGCCAGGGTGCCATCGGACGGGAGAGCCCTCGGTTACTGCTCTATAGCCGAAGGCATCTCACTCGACAAGATGTCCGCCTCACATGCGTACAGATCACCGTACTCTGCACAGACGTCCCATCCAACAGCCGCATTAAATGCGGCCACATGCGGCTGCCAGCGCCAATCAGTTGAGGTGACCCCTCGGCCAATGAGAGCTTGACACGTGTCCCTGCCCGGCATTTATTGCTGCTATAAATAGCACCCCATTTCCTCATTTGTAACCACGCTGAAAACGGCTTTCATACTGAATACACTCTCTCTCTACTTTTACTTACTTGCTCTGACTTCTCTCTAAGTTATTCCCCGTAATAACCCTTCGGATATATACCCCCGGGTAGACTATCCATCAGTGTAAGATTACAATGGGATAAGACGTATAACTGAATAGTTCAGAAATATAACAATTCGTTAACCCTGTAAAGATATAGACTCATCTATCGACATAGAAGTTTCTGCTACGTAACCAATAATCAATACTAGAAAAAGTACTAACCTGCGACAGAAAACAAACATATAAATCGGTTTCACCATCCACTGACAAGAAAATAATAGAAAATCTGATATGTCCAGCCACTAGAAAGAAACAACTAGAATCATTAGTTTGACCAGCTACTTGGAAGAAATTGCAAATATCGTTAGTTTGACCAGCCACCGAAAAGAAGATCCAATTGAACGTTATCTTTCTCTCATAGCAAGACATGATAAACATGATAAACATTGTCATCCACCAATAATAAAATTTCAACGCCTGATCGGCTTCACCGACGAGGAATACACAAACCATAGACATTGCTAGTAATAAACCACATAAAATAACATGAACATACTTATGAAAGAGATAAATTTTCATCTTTATGATGAGAAAACTGATTGAGAAGAAGAGAGTGGGGCCAGCTAGGGTTTACCTTCGTCGCTCCTCAAGTCGACCAATGTCACTCTAACTTTTAGAACTACTCGGTCAATTAATCATACATTTTGTATAATTATAGAAAAATATTATTTGATTGACAAAGGTTATAGAGAAAAATATTACTTTCTAATTCCTCATTTGATCAGAATATCATATCAAAAATATTATTTGATTGACGCTACAGTATTCCCTTCTCAGGCAAAACGAAGTGTTTTACTCATCTCAACCTGTTTATCAGATCATATCATTTCTCCGGATTGCTACATTTTATCTATTTTTCCCTAATTTGTTTCATTCATAAAAGACGCTGAAATTTTCCTTAAATAATGAAATTGGGGGCATAATAAAGAAAATTTCAATGTTTTTTTACATGAACCGGAAGGGATTTGCAGATCAAGCAAGTGTAGGTTAATTTATGTACTACACTTTTTTAACTAGTTTTAACTAGTCTTTAATTTATGTACTAGTGTTAACTAACATTGTCACTGCCCTATATTAATTTTAATTGTTTCAAATTTGTGCTATTCATGTTACCTACTTTGTTCATGTTTTGTTGTCATTGTATTAAAAAATCATACTCATGTCTCAAATTGAATTGCAAAATTGACTTTTTGGGGTTAAACTGACTCGTTTTAATCACTTTATTAGGACATCAACAAATCTTACTTAAATTCTAATTTGGATTTTGCAATTGTATAGAGATTTTAATGTAGTTTCTAACTATGTAAACTTTAATTATTAAAATTGAATTAATTATCAATAGGAATGGTTTAATTTTAACCTTGATTGACCAAATAATGTTGACTTTGCAAACAATTTGGGACGAGGTAGTATGATGTAAATATCATGAAAATCGTCTTAATGTATATTTCCAACTTATCATTTTTTATATAATTTTTAGTAATGGAAATATATTAATGTTCAAAGCAGTAGTGCATTGTAAAACATAAAATGGAATGAAGAAGTACAACACCATAGAATCGTGGTACTAAACCAAATTCTGGGTTGATGTCCATGGATTGATTATAATTTAAAGATGATTATTATCGTACTAATAGTATGCTTTAATTTTCCACCCCACAGAAATGTTTAACAATAATAGGGGGGACCGGGCCCGCTGCCCGGTTCGAGCCGGGTTCTGGGTCCTAAATATTTAGCCCCGGTACCTGCCTGGGTTTGTACCGGGACCGGGCCGGGCCGAGTCTTGACTCAATTTTTTTGAGTTTTTTTTACTCCAGGGGGTCTGGGGGAGGGGCCTGAGGGCCTGGAGTAACTAGGGCTGAAACTCACTCCATTGAGTTTGAAACCCTTGTGTGCCTAGCGGGATTCGAACTCGAGACCTCCCACTAGACACCGTAATCTCACAACCAGTTGGGCTGGAATGCTCGGTTTCAATTTCTTTAGTTTCATTTGTCTTTTCGAATTAATTACAAACCCCCTAAACCGGCCAGCCCAATGAGAAAAATTAAAAAAAAAAGTAATTGAGCCCAGACTGGCTGGGCCGGTTCATCATTTAGCATGCCCGTAGCCCGCCACATTAATTCCCCGGTTCGGTCCCCAGTCCCGGTCCCATCAGATCGGGTCAGGCCGGTGACACCGATCCCGCACAATAACGGGTCGGGTCATGTCCTGGGTTGGGCTGAACCGGCCCTATCCACCCCTAAACGATAACCACTAATTATTTATAGGTTATATACACACATACATATATATATATATATAGGTTATATAGGAGGAAATATGTTAATGATAGGATGCATTGCGCATTATAATCTTGATATAATGATATGTATTGGAATGATGCATTTAAATTAAGTACAAAGCTTATGCTTCAACATGCATCACTTATGTTGATTGTGAAAGTAACAATTTCTTGAACCATACCTTACCACTTACAGAGTTATAGTGCCCACATTCTACTCAATTTATACGGTACACCCGGGTTTTAGGTACACTCGAGTGTATGTGTGTAAATCAGAAATGAAATGAGCATGTAACTTACTTATAATGATCATTAATATAAACTTCATAGATGCATCTGTCAGCAATCAATAATACAATCATCATTAATGTCAACCTAGATTAATAGTAATATAGCAAATACTAATAGTATTTTACAGCTTATGATTAATGAATTAAAAGACAACCATATGTTCCTCAACACCCACAATATCATTCCATTTGTTCTAGATAAGCACATTTTGTTTCTTCACTTGTTCCATCACCTCCTTCTTGATTTAATTCTTCTCAAATGTGAGTATGGCATGCAAATACTTAATCCTCAGTATCTCAATTGCATTTTCCTGTACACACATTATAGTTTATATATTAACATTTTCACATAATTATTATGTTTGACAAACTATATTAAAAATATTTCAAACTTACATTTTCTTTGTCTAGACCATACTCCCATGCTGTGTCGCCACCAAATGTTTCCACATGCCTCATCAAATACACTCCTTCATTGGTTCTGTTTTTGTTATTTCTCCAATGCATTTTGACAAATTCTGCTTCAGCTTCACAACCTGATCTGCCTTTGGGTGCCTTTCTTGTGGAAGCCATTTCACAAATCCATTTTTCTGTAGTTAAAAAGTTCAAAAACTCGCTTATACGTTTTATATTGTAATGCTCATAATTTCTATGAATCTTACTCATTTGTTTAGTGTAGATTACTCATATACTGACTGTTCCAATTATTTAACAACATACAATATAATAAAAAAAGTATATAAACTATTTACCAGGTAACTTGGTTGAAACAAGTACTTCACTCCAATACATATATCTCCATCGCTACTATCAATAATGTAGAACTTCATGTTCTTCAAGTCAAAACACATCAAGTAGTAGCACCCGTTCTGTTGATCTGGGAAGATGAATATGTCTGCTATTCTCAACTTACTGACATCTGCCTTGGGAAATTTCATAGCAATAGCTGAAAGAAACCTTTTGTTCCTTGTTTGTGGAGCACTCACATGATTTTGATCTAGCACTTGCTGCAATTAAATATTTTAGTGTATTAGTTTGATATGGTTAATATTAATTAATTAAGTTAGTACTTCTTACACATGGTTTTGTTGAGAAAAGCAGTCTACTTTTAGCTCCATCACTTTTCAACTTTTCATTATGGTTAAGCATCATAGCCCATACATCTATCACTTCTACATCAACTTTCAAGTTGCTCTGCAATGTTTCCAATTGAACTTTGGAAAGGGTTAAGTAGTGATTCTTGAACAACACAACACTGCTTCAATGATTTATTCACACAAAAAACATCAGTCTCTTTACTCTAGTAATATTCAACGAGTAAACTTACATATTAAATGTGCATCATTATAAAACAAAATGATTAACTGAAAGTTATTGTGTACTTACTTCTTGTCACAATGATCATGAAACACAAAACCTGCAACTAATCTTTCTTCACTGTCAAACATTGTCTTTGCGTCTATGAAACTGTTCATGTATGGTGACTTCAAAGCAGTTGTTGGTACTGTTTCTCTTTTTTATCTTTTCACTTTGTTTTCTTTTGGGTCAACTTGCTCTTGTGCAACTTGTTTACCCTTTTTATACCTTCTGTCTCTCTCTTCTTCGCCTTCTTCGTTTTCAGCATCCTGTTCATCCTCATTAGCATGCTCTTCATTCTCATTATCTTCGTACATTTGCTCACCGTTACCATCCTCTGTATTCTCAATACCATTTCCAAAGTGCTCAAAATCTTCATTAACATGCTCAACATCATCCTCATCTCTATTTTCCATTTCATTTGACTCCTGCGACAACAACTTGAAGATTGGCTTTTCGTACTGTGTAAAAGTTGGCCGCTCAACTCTTTTGTTCTGAGCCATTTCAATTGCTTCAATTGCTTTGACCACTTCTTCCGTCCAGAATCCATCATCCGGAGTCAACGATACTTCAGTTTCAGCTTCTTCTTTTTTCTCCTTTTCAAAGGAATATGTGTTGAAAAGCCCATGTACTTTTCCCATCAAAGCCTTCATTGTCTCATCATCTCGCAACATCTTTGCAGTCTCTTGGAACTTCTCATCAAAACTTGCAATGCTTTTTGCCAAAGTCTTAGCTGCAACAGCAAATTCTTTCATAATGTCATGTAGTTATTTAATGAGTAATGTTAGAAACGTACTTGAGCAATCTTTATTTTACTTTTTAATACTCTTATTAAAAAATTAAATTAGCATATACATTTATTATATTTGTTTATTTAGTCATTAAAAGTTTTATCCCTTGTTTTATAACATTTTTATTTTTTTTTACTCAAGAAGTTCTTGTTAGTACTCATTAAATTGTATTAAATACTCATAATTAGAAATCATAATTCTCATTTATATACTTACCCAAATTTCTCTCTTAAAATTACATAATGCTCTCTTACCTTCTTTGGATGCTGATTGATGTCTCCCTCAATTGCCCTTTCAACTTCTTGTTCATTTCTTATCACTTTTGGAACTGTCAGTTCTCCTTCGTTAACTTCATCTACATATCCAAATCCGAAACCTCCACTTTCAATTTCTTCCTTCTCTTTTGTTCAGTTTTTGTGTTGTCCATCCAATGATAGATGACAATCCTCTTTGCACTTTTCTTCCTTTGAACACAGCATTGTCAACATAGAACATCTACATATTTTATAAGTTGTTAAAATTGTGTATTGCATATAATTATTTGATTAATAAGATGATACAATTGAGCATTAACTTACAATCAGAAACAATAGAGGCCCAGGGAATTGTGTTGTTCTATTCTTGCTCCAATAGTCCTTTGCTTCAATTAAAGTTTCCAATGCATATCCACACCAATTCAGATTTGGAATTTTCGAATCATCCTTTTAAGCCTTCAGAATGCTTTGATTTGCAAAGCAATTTTGCTTACCTTCAATCAGACATGTTACAAGGAGAACCAAAAATTCTTCTTAAACCAGCCTCCACCTCTTTTGTCTTCTTCTAAGACCTTCCTCAATTGACCAGTCCTCACAACTCCATTTTCTGTCTCAAATTGGGATCTCCAATCAGCCACCATTTGTGATGTATTTTCAGCTTGATTGTCAATCAAATTCTTCACATTCAAGTTTTCTTTTGGAAACCCCAATGTGAAGTGCACTGCATCTTCATTTATCCTCAATTTCTCATTGTTCGGCAGAACAAGAGACACACTTCTGCTATCAAACTTCTCAACTGCCCAATATGCCAACTGCATCGGCAATTGCTTGATTTGAACGTGAAATAATGGACCAAATCTCATCTCCACCACCTCTGTCTTTTGTTCTTCACTCAGTGTTGTCATTATTTCAGTTATACTTCTTGGAGACATTCTAGTCTAGAGCTTCGGAAATTTATCGTTTTCTTCCATTTCTGCCTCCTCGTGCTCGTCCTCTAGTTCTTCTTGTTCAAGTTTCTTCTTCTTTGACTTCTTTTTCTCCACCTTTGATGACTCTGCAACACATTTTCCTTTCTTTCTTACATCATCTTCTTTCTTCTTTTTCTTAACTCCAACTATCTTCTTTTTAGTTTTTTCTCCTGTGGTTGATCTTGTTATTCTCTTCTTTGCTGTCTCATCCTCACACTCAGTCTATTTGTTTGAAGTTTCTTGCTCTCCGCTTTGTTTTGAATTTTTTCTCTTTCTTTTCTTGCCCTCCACTTTCTTTTTCTGCAAACCACCCTCTTTTGCTGCTTCAACATTCTCATTTTGCTCATTCTGAGTCATATGTTGCTCAGTTTCAGCTGCATGATGCTCATCTGGCTTACTGTTATCAACAACTTCTTGCAATACATTATCGCTTTCAACATCACCTTTATGTGATTCTTCCACATTTCATTTTCTTCTGCTTCACGCTGCTCTGGCTGACTGGAACCATCATCTTCTTGAAATACATTATTCCTTTCCACATCAACTTTTAGAGCTATTTCAACATTGTGATTTTGCTCATTCTGACCCTTATGTTGCTCAGTTGCTTCCGTATCATGCTCAATTATTTCTTCCACATTCATTATCCCCTCATTTTGTTGCTCTTTTATCAGGTCCTTTGCAGCTTTGTTCATTACTCTAACTGGTTTTATCTTCTGCTTCTTCTCTTGAACTTTGGAAGCCCTTTTTAATTCCCTTTTTGGCTTTCCACGTAACATCGGGATCTCACTTATTGGCCTTACATCTAAAATCCTTCATTATTAATTAAAATAAGTATTAGATATTCATTCATGATTCACAAATGCATTTCAATACTTAACAAGTACATTGTACCTTATGAACAATGACCATTTTTCACTTACATAATGAGCATAAAACAATTGTGATGTAATTGTATTCCATAACAACCATATTCTAAAACAAAAATTGCATAGTACTTGATGTTCACATAGCACTATATGGACATTTGAAAGTAGTTATAAAATAATTAGTATCACATCATTTGTAATTTAACATCATCAGTAACAATAGTTCTCACATAATGTTTTTTAAAATGAACATTTCTTTTCAAGTTTCGAGCATACAAACAATTGTCCACAAACAGTATTAAAGAACAAGCATATTTTAAACCAGTTTTCAGTACTATAAAATTCTGACAATGTTTTATAAATTCAGCATTTTGCATTCACATTATGAGCATACACAGAATATTCATGCAACTGTATTACAGAAAGTAAAATGTAAAATAAAAATTGCACAACACTTCATGAACAAAAATTTCTATATGGTCATTTTAAACAATGATTAGATAATGAGTATCAATTCAATTTTAATGGCGCACTATGACTAATAAAAAACAGACAAACCATTTTCTAGTCACACTATCACTCATAAGCACATTCTTCAATAAATTTAGAAAAATTAAAGCACATATCACTTTATTCGCAGATGAGTACTACATACAACACAATGAGTATTGTATCACTTTACAAGTAACCTAACTACAATATTACCATGTTCGGATCAAATTTTACACGAGTTCATTGTGAAATCAGAAATATTTGTTAATTTATGGTTAATCTGTAACTTTTAATTAATGCATGGTAAATGAAATTGGAAAAATAGCTTTAGAACTCCAAATAATATTTCCAACGAGATATAACACGCTCTAAATGGAAGAACACACAGCAAGATATGATCGTCACAAATATTTAGCCTTATCTCTGTGATTTAGCGTTTTCAGCGTAAATATAGCACTTGTAGCGTAAATACAGTCTTGTTTTAATAATTACGCAATCACCCCTTGATATTTTGAAGTCGGCGCCAGAAGACAAGTTTTAGAACTCGATAAGATCTTTCCAATGAGATATTAAATGCTTTCAACGGAACAAAATAGAGAAAGATATGATCAGATCAAATTTTACACGAGTTCATTGTGAAATCGGAAATATTTGTTAATTTATGGTTAATCTGTAACTTTTAATTAATGCATTGTAAATGAAATTGGAAAAATAGCTTTAGAACTCCAAATTATCTTGCCAACGAGATATAATACGCTCTATAACACATCAAATTCATAATCTGCTTCAAATATGTGTAGATCATTTCAATTTTTCTGTAATTTTTGCAACATGCAAGTATATTCGTTAATGATTACTAAAATATAAATTACAATAGTATTATACTCCCTCCGTCCCTAAAAGGATTGCCAAGTTTGACCGGCACGTAGAATAATAAAGTAAAAACTATGTGGTAAAGATTTGTGCAAAAGAGAGAAATAACAGGAACCACAAATTGATTGATTAAAAGGGAAAGTGGCAAAGTTTTTGGGGCAACCAAAAAAGGAAAGTTGGCAAAGTTATAAGGGACAGAAGGAGTATAAAATACCTCTCAGATGCTTCTGCATTTTCATGCTCTTCTGCGTTTAACATCATTTGATACTCGCTTACCAAGTCCATCCCTGTTTTCAATGCTCAAACACGAACAAGCTGATGCTCAAACTCTTCCGGTTGCTCGCCAACTCCACCAAAAACTCCAGCAATAACTGCACAACTCCACCAAAAAGTTTACCAATTGTCCTCATTTTTCGAGCTTAAATAAAGCGGCAATGAATGCTATCGTCATTTTGTGAACAGATGTTCAGAATGCAGTTCAATTTTTGAGAGAAGAAGTTACTTTTTCATTTTTGTATTAATCTGTTTCAGTTGTGACTTTACCCAGTAAAATTATGGACCACTTTTGTTATGGGCTATATCTGTTATTGGGCTTTTAAATTAATTGGACCGGATGTAGGATATACGAACCGCAAATTCTAATGTACAACCATGGTGCCATCGTGCCTTTCTTGTGTTCAATTAAAACATTGAATACACGGGGAATTAAGGAGCCATTAATTTTAGAGTACATGAAAAGTGACTAATAGAGTAATAGTAAAAAATAATAATGTTTGAAAACTAAAGTGATTTTGAAACAATAAAAATCGGAGTGTTTGGTGAGAGGCAATATAAATCATCCATCCACTTTTTTGAGCAATGTATAAAGCTTCCTTTTTCTTGTGAGTTGTTAACTACATATTCATGCTTATTCAGTCTCGTTAACGACTCTTCAAATATGACATTTTTTATAAGGTAGCTAGAACTTTTCTTTTGCATCCCTAGCGTATGTTACTCTATTTTAGGGATGGACCAAACCAGGTCGGCCCGGCCCTGAACCGGCCCGGCCCGCCACTGTGCGGGCCCGGCCCGGCCAGGTTACGGAATGGGCGGTGCGGGCTTTTACCCGGCCCGGGGGAGGCTAGCGGTTCGGGCACGGTTCACAAAAAGGAAGGCCCGGCCCGGCCGGTTCAAACCAACAGCTGTATTTAAAAATAAAAAATCTTTTGGCTACCAAACAGGCCCTTAGAGCCGTTGTGATTGAACCCAAACGGCTATATAGCCGTTGGGAGCCTTCCTGGGGTCCAGGGGTGGGGTTAGGGGGGTGGGGGTGGGGGGGAGCGTAGGGGTACAAAAAAAACTATAAATACTCCATTTTTTCTATACAATTTACTACACATCTTCTCCAAATATTCCTACTCTCTAATCTCTATTCTCTACAAATTTATTATTTATATATCTACTTTATACTTAAGATGGAAAATCAAGATGCCGTTATAATATAATAATTTTGATAAGCAGAAAGACCCGAAGACCGAGATGTGGTACGCAACTTGTAAACGGTGCGGGAAAAAATGTTGCATGGGGGTTTCAGGCAGATACGGGATGGCAATGAAGCATATGAAGTCATGTGACAAAACCAAAGGATCAGGAGGTGCGGGAAGTTCCGATTGATTACAATTTACAAAATGTTTCTTTTGAAGTTTGTTTTAATTTTCAAATGTAATTCCTATTTCATTTCAAATAAATGCACTTGAAGTTTGTTTTTAATACTTGTATAAAACTATAAACTATAAAATATAAATTATAAAAAAAATTAACCGCCCCAACCCGGCCCGGCAGGTGGCCCGACCCGTGACCCGGGCGGGTGGCCCGACCCGAACCGGACCCGTCCAACCCTCGGGCCGGTCCCAGGCCCATATGATACGAACCGGCGGCCCGATCGGGCCTAGGCCCGGGCCTGACCCGGCCCGGGTCCACCCCTACTCTATTTTAGTCCCTGATATTATTCATGTTGCGAAAAAGACAACTTCAGCTTATACTCACGTAAATGGGTAAATCTTTGTGACATTGACCTATTCAGTTTAGCTTCGCAGGAAAAAACGATGGTACAAATGAGGAAGGGAGAAGTATTTCTTTCGCCGAGGCCCGAGCTGTGGACAAAAAAGGGTCATATAGACACCTCAAAGTGTGAATTCATATATAGCAATCTGTATAATCTAATAAAATGAAGTGTCTTCATCTACAAAATTGTTTACAACCTAGCAAGTTTGGCAGCCTCACATCGATTATCGATACATAAAACCCCAAGAAATGGATTTCAAAATCCATTAAAATTACTGCTTAGATTTAGACCTTGTGCGAACATACTGATCATATTTCCTGACGATAGCATCTTCGGTTGAAAGATTCCACATCTGCATATTCATTATTCTTTAGTGGATTGTGGATACGCTCAACAGAAAATCATTACCTAATGGCTAATACTCCGTATATCATAGTGAAAAGTCAAGGAAATGGAGAACAGGGGAACAGAAATGAAACATGAAAATGGAACAGAGTACTCCAAATGTATACCCACCTCAAGCTTTCCTTTAGAGCCGCCTATAGCTAGCAAGAACGGGCAGTCATCTGAGAAGGAAATAGAAAATACAGCCCCCTGGCAAAAGCAAAGTGGTGGTTTGGTCATGTTTCCGGATGAAAAAAGTGGAGAAATAGTTTTTCCTTCAGATGAAGGTACAACTAATTGTTTCTTCAAATAAAAACTATAACACATGCACGTACTGCTTTGGGATTCCTAGTGGCAAGACATGAAGGTTGATTGTTGGACAAATCCCATAATTTTACCTGCAGTTGGTTGGTCTCCATCAGAATCTTACCAGAAACAGTTAGAGATATAGAGCTAATTAGGGAGACAGGAGAAGAGCTGAATACCGTTTTATCTAGGGAGCCTGTTGCAATAAGCTACCAATATATAAATAAATAAATAAAATTAGATCACTTGAGAAGCTAATGGAGTAATTAGACATTTACACATCCACGACCCATCTAAAAGAAAGAAAATGTTATACATACATTTGGCACCAATGGGTTAAAAGAAATGGAGCAAACTGCTTTGTCATGAGCATGAAGGGTGAAATTTGGCTTCATCTTTGAAGTAGAATTGGGATCAGCAGCCACCCGAATATCAAAACTAGTTATGGTTCCATTTTCCATACTCACCTGAAATAAATAATTTAATTTAAAGAAGGAAAAAAGCATGAAACCCCTGTCAGAACTAATGTTATTTTTTATGAGAAAGATAACTGGAAGTCAGGAGCTAACCAGAAACGAATGCTCGGCATGTGGGTCCCATTTCAAGCTCTCAACTTGGTCAGCCACTAAAAACTTAAATCCATCATGAGATGGTTGCCTTGCATCCTTCTGCAACATGCATTATATCTCTTTCACAATGAAGGAAATTTGAAAATTAATGAAAAACAATTTATCGAGCTATGGAGCGAAATAGGACTTAAGAATATAACATTCTCAGAGGGCAAATGCCAAATACCAACCAAGATAACAGAACGATCAAATGATCCGGAAAGAAGAATATGGGGGTTAAATGGATTCCACGCAACTGCTTGCACCTGCGGAAACAACACAGGTAAGCAGAGAAAGAAAAAAATGATGTTTAGATATTTGTAAGCTCAAGTATAAATCTATAGTCATTTGCCTTGTCATCATGGTCTTTCATAGTGACATTACATTTTCCTGTTGACACATCCCAAATCTTGACTGATTTGTCAGCACTAGCACTAGCTATAAGATTTCTGCATAAAATGACAGCAGGAATGATAAAACTAAAACATTATTTAGGTAAATGATTGGTAACTATGATAACTAACATAAAGTTACCTATACTCCTTGTTCCAAGCAAGGCTAAGTACTGAATCTCTGTGGCTGCCCTTTTTGTATTTGATTGATTTCTGAAATGAAAAAATGTGAACATTGTAAGAGGCTATAATCATTAGCTCAACATAAATGGATAGCTATGTAATGACGCATACTCGTATCTGTCTATAGAGCCTACCAACTACACATCCAACAACCAACCAACCCCAAAAACTTCAATTCGGATTTGAATTTACCATTTTCCCAACTTAAATTATTAGCCAATAGAACTTAAGGGGTGAGACAAAGTAGGGTTTTCATTGTGCCAGATGAAACAACGTTATCAAAATTACACCTTATGACTTCATCCCAATAATTTCTTTCCAGTTTGATTTGGCATGTTTATTAGGAAAGTAAAATTGCACGGTTGTTGTTAGTGTAAAAAGGAAAGGAAGAATAACAACATGAAAAGGAAATGGGAAGAAACTTTTGGGATGGTGGAAGCGTATCACAAAAGAAATATAATTCAGTGAGGTAATACATTGAAAAAAGTTAGTGTGCCACAACCCACCCTTTTTCTGTTTTTCACTCTTTCAGCATAAAGAAAAGTAAAAATGAATACTCTCAGTCCCACTTGAACTTTTAGGTCTGCAATGTCGATCTTTGACAATTACGGAGTATTATTTACAATTATATACTAATGAAATCTGTAGTAAATAATCATTGCAATAATACATATTAAAAATTGTTTTATACTTCGTAATACTTAATGTTATAAGTTAAAAAAAAAGTTTAAAAAAATTAACTAGTTAAGTGTCAATGTTAACGAACTTTAACTTCAAAAGTAGAGGAAGAGTTGAGGGTGGGATGGAGGGAGTAAATACGTAAATAAAATAAATTATAAACAAATTAATTAAATGAAAAGAAAATGATTATAGCCGATGCTTATCAATCTAAAAAGGTAAAACTGCATTTATCATCAATGATAAGGTGAGGGTAGCTAGAGTGCTAGACACATAGGTCAGGAGAAGATTGTGGAAAACTAAATGAGAAATAGTGCCTGCACAAAATATGTGATAAATTGCAGAAAAGGACCCTAATAAGTTAGTGGATAGTTGTAAATAAATGTGATGGAGAAATTAATTCATATGGAAAGCACCTTTTTCCCCTTCTTTTTTGCAGAAACGCCTCCTAAGATCACAGATGGTAGAACTTCATCTATCTATTCACAAAGACAACGAAGAAAGAATGATATTAATAGTAATATACGCACAAAAGATGTGTACAGAAAATCCCTCAAAAAACATACAATGTCAAGGTCCCAAATTTCAATGGCTGGTTCCATGGAGCCCACAGCCATAAAGTTGCCTACAATCACACAAAACATGATGCTTACATTCAATAATACAGGTTTTTTAGAGGGGTGGGGGTATAATAAAAACTACAGGTTTGTAACCCATATGCTATAGTATCAAACCTTTCTCCCCCCCTTTAAGAGGGCAATCAAGCCACGCTGTACACAGAGGGAATGCTGGAATTATAATATCATGGTGAACATACATGTTCAATTCATTATCTGTAGAATCCTCCAATATCCATATCTGTTTGAAGAGTTTAATATTAAAAACCATCAGTAATCAGATTAAAAACGTGACAAATAAATGAAGGTCATTTATTATTCACAGAATAACCATTACATGCCTCAAGGTGACTGACATCATCTTCATTACGTGCACATACAATAACGGCATCATCTGGTTTTATAGCTGTGTCC